TATATATATATTAATTATTTATAAATATATATATATTATTAATATTAATTATATTAATATAATAATAATAATATGTATTATTATTAAACTCCCCTACAAAATTGCAGGGGAGTGGGAGGTTTTGTGACGTGGGGAGTTACCCCACGTCACCCTTCTTCTTCTTCAAGTGTTGGAGAATGGGAAGAGGGGTTTTTACAGAACAGAAAAGAAAAAAACTCCCATCATTTTTCTCTCAAAATTCTCTCAATCTCTCCCTGTCTTCGATCAAGGTGCTACCACAAGCACGATCCCGAGACCCAAGAGGATAGCGAGGAAGACGTAGCGGTGTTGTTCGTGGGAAACCGTAGAAGAAAAGTTATTCAAAGGTATTTGGTTTCCCCTGCATTTTCCTTCTTTGAAATTCAATTTTGTATCCCGAAAATCAGCAACGAAGATCTGCTTCTGCTTTGGGAATCACATCCCTTCAAATACTTGCACGCGATTTTCTTTAGACAGATTAGTTATGGAAATGGCCCCAACATCTAGAAACTTGTACGGGCTTAATTCATTTTCATTGCCCAACGATCTATGTAAGAACCTACACAAAGGCGTTGCAAGTTCAGTATTTAATAAAGCAATATTGATCAACATAATGTACTTTACAACCAACAGAAAATCAACTTGAAAGCAATTAGTTTACGTCATGTAGGCATCAATGCACGGAGTAGTTGTCGGTTCCATATGAAACAACTTCTGTACATCCTCCACCATGATAAACAACTTATATTCATGACCGAACACATCCTTGGATATAATCATTTGAATTGCCCTTCCAATGTAGTTTATCTCACGAGTTAAACATGTTTGACTAACGGGCGCAGGTTGTGTTGGAGATTTTCCACTTGCCAAACTGAACAGCTCCCTCGAATGTTTTATTTCCTTCAATTCAAAATAATATGGTTGTTAACGATGAACTAATGAATTCTTACAATCAACTACGAGATGTTACCTTCTCATTATCGTATATGACAAGACTTTGTGGCAATAATATATGTGAACCTATTTCTTGCGAGAGAATATCATTTCCTCCATGCATCGGAATTGGAAGTCGAGAGTCGTCATCAACAACCACGTCTATGGACACTTTCACGTTTCCATCCTTCCTCCCAGATTCAAATATAGTGCCCACGGCGACAACATTATCGATGGACCCAAGTGCGAGACGACAATGAGTTGATTATACGCAGTTGACGACGTTATATTTCTTGTTTTCTTAAATTGAAAAGCTGGTGAACACTTACCTTGAACTCCAAAGTTTCTTTCTTGTCCAATATCTTCAAGTGAACACATATAGTCACATCAGTTAAGTATCGGTAACTACGTGCATTACATTTCTTATAAGAAAACTTGGTAAACATAAACACTTACCTCATCTATATTCTCCTTTTTTAAAACGTTTTCATCTCACTCATTCTTCGATAAAGTACCACGCTTTGATTGCAGATATTTTTTTGAAGCGTTTTTAGATGGTGTGGTACGCTTTGACT